TCCCTCCGAGGGAGAGAAACCGTAATCAGTCCGCGCGCCTGCCGCGTCTGCCTGTCAATGCGTCCCTCGTTCAGACACCACTTTCTCCGACCAGCCTGTCCTGTCCTAATACTGACGTCAAGGATGTCCCACGCGTCGCGCATGTCCTCGACTCTCCAGGGCTTCTTGCCGACATTCACGCGGGCTCCTGTCATCTGGTGATGGAATCTGAGGTCGTTGAGAAAGCGTTGAATGAGATTGGCGTATGGGTAGTACAGAGGTCGGTCGTCCTCGGATTCGCCCATTAATCTGCATTCGTGTGCAGGCGGGCTACCGGCTTCGACCCACTTCTGATACCTCTTTTTGGACGCATTGGCCAATCTCCGCAACTGATCTTTCTCTGTGCCTATGTGCGATCGCGCACCCGTCATAATGACGTGTGCGCCATCCTTCATGTATCTCGCGATCTGGTCCTCGGACAACGTCGTCTTGATCCAGTTCGTCAACTTCTGCAGGTACGCGAGATCGCTCTGTGTGGCGGTGCTCTTACCTGTGGCGCCTACGGCCACAGTGTATTGCCAACAGATATCACAAAGTGTGCCGTCACCTGTGACAATCCCGAGGGACAGATCTCGACCGCAATTATGACAGAGCGGAATGGGGCGCAAGATCGTCTCAGGGGCCCCTGCCGAAGTCAGGTGATCGCGGGATCCCCAGCGGGTGTCCTGACCGCGAGCGAGGCTCTGACCGATCTGATTGATCGCCTCACGATTGATCTCGGTGTTTGGTCTGGAAGCGATCGTTCTGCTTAAACCCTCGATCTCGATCCGAGACAACCTTTCCCCTGGCAGTCCTTTGTACTCTATCTTGACGTTGTCGGTATCCTCAGTACCGCCATGGCATACGTTCTCCTCACGAAGACGGCGAGCCTGCTTCTGCAGGGTAGCCTCGTTGTCGCCCTCCTCGCGCTTGAGTCCCGTCTGCTCGGCTATGATACGTACCATAGTCTCCTGATCGGGAGCTGCAGACGCAACACTGCCTGGGTCCTGGGGAATATCCTGCTCGGCGCCTTGCTCTCGAGGCGCAGCAGGTGTTTCCACCAGCTCTTCCCACACAGGAAAATCTGGATTACCGTATGTCGCAGTACAATTTTTGAATAGGTCACGCAATGCCTGAAGTGCAGGATGGCTGTCATGGATGACTTCCTTGGCGAAATCTGGTAGTTCCACAATACTATCTTTCAAGATGTTCTGGTATACTTTGGAAATCCATTGAAAGATGCCTGTGGTCGACTCCTCGATAGTCTCTGGGTCGAGGTAGTGTACCAACTTTTTGAAGAAATTATCTGCACCACAATTGGGTAAGTCACGTGCCCACTTGTGGGTATGATTGTAGTTCAATTGGTATGACTCCGCATTCCATGCTTTTGATCAGAATCGAATTTCAAATTGTAAATGTGACTGGATTTTGTCCATTACGATTCTGTCTGCGCCACTGTGTAGCTCGATGATCTGCTTCATCTTGATCATAGGCGAATCCACCAATAACGCCGATGTCCAACAATACACGCGGCAATCATCAGACTGTCTAATCCATCTTGAATCCTCGTCGGGGTCGTAATCTGGATGGTCAAGGAAATTCGATGGCGGATCAATGATGTTATCGAGGATGCTTGCCTCAATCTGCTCTTCTGCTTGGATGTCTGCCGAGAGGTCTGCTCTCATGTTGTCGTTCGCAGCTTTCTCATCTGCAGTAAGAGCAATATTTGATATGTCTACGATTACGGTGATCAGTGGATCATGCGATGATGCTGTACCCTGTCGAGGAATGTCGCCCGTCTGAGCGTTGTCCTCGGCAGGTGTGGCCACCAGCTCGTCTGGATCAGGTGTCCGTGGAGCGGGCCTTCTTGGTGGTGTACGCGGAATACGTGGTCTATGGATGCGAGGCATTCCAAGGTATGGTAAGCTGCCGCTAACCTTGTGCTGTAGTATCTCCCCGCTGCATGATGTCCGGGCCTTTCAGGACAGTCTCCATCCATGTTGGATCGATGGCGTGTTCTTCGATACGAATCGGTAATGCAAATACGACGCCCTTGAGGGGCATGCTTTTGTCATTATACCAGATATTTACCCATCGTAAACCGTAGTTGAGAATAGGTACTTGTACCGCAAAGAACTTGTCGAATATGCCGAAATGGATGATTGGACCATATATGTGTCCCTTGGACAAGGCAATCTTGGTATTGTGATTGCCTTTGGGCCAATGGTTGTCGAAGTGGAAGCATTTGGTAGAACCCCAATTCTTAATGACAATGAAGTCGCCCATTCGAACATCGTTAAATGCAGGACGACGATCCCAATCTTTTTGCAGGATCTTTGATGTGATTGGTCGAAGAGCTTCGCGACAATGTGACAATGCAATTAACCATTCTTTATCATCTGCTTTGTGATTGGTCTCCTGAATCATAGCGCGTACTATTTGCTCATCAAAGGCGTCCTCTGCGGATGTACGGCCAGCAGGGGTTTCCCCCGGCCTGGCCGAGGGTGCTGATGCTGGCGTCGTCCTTGGAGGCTCCATGTTGTGGTCGGGGTCGATAGGTGCCAATCCAGGTGGGTCGTCAATAAGTTCTCCAGGGAGGCAGGCGCAAATCTCGTACTTGCTCAATGGCTCTCTTGCTGCCAATGGCGGGTAGTCCCATGGGTCGCCGTCTGGCCACAACTGCTGGCCATGCATGTGGTGTGGTTTGAGGCGGCGAATTGCAATAATTGCCGCAGCGGGTACCACGTCCTCAGTCATGATAGCGCCCTGAGCACCCAACCAAAATCTGCAAACTGCTTTTGTGGCGATTTCCATGTTAATCACCAGCTCGACTTCGTTCTTGTAGCTGTTGAACTTGTACGATTCCACTGAAGTATGTGGGTTCATTTGAACATTGTTCAAATTTGTGCTAGAACTGAAGAGTGCCTCAGATCGCTGCGATGGTTTGTAATTTCTGTCTCTCTGAGAATGTGGTTCAACATATCCAGGAATGATCCCTGTCTTCAATATGTTCTTCCAGGCACGGGATGCTGTGCCATGATGGAGATACTTGATATCTGTCCACTGTAGACTTTCCCATCCCATATTCCATGGCTTGGAAGATGGGTTGACACAACTGTGACCACCAACGCACCGAATAGCAATGACGCTGTTCCAGTCAAAAGTACTGGGGTCACCTCCTTCAGGGATCGGCTTGGCATATATCTCGATTCTGTTTTTCTGCGGGTCAATATGCTTCTGGAACGCACGAATAATTAATATCGGATAGTAGTCGTTCCAATCGGTGTATCCATCATTTTCACCGTCTTTCTTGAAATGTGCCACTGCCGCTTCCATGGATGGTCCATTGTGTCTTTCTTTGCGATCTCGGAATTTCCATTCGACCATTTCTTTAAAGGATTTCCAATTGCTTGGAATATTCCAATCATTCTTTGTTGTTTTCTCCCAGATATTAATACGTCTGTCATGAAATTGGTTGA